TGGCCAAGGACACTGATTAGATCCGTGAACAATCAGCTCAGAACAGTAGGACACTGTTCCATGGCCACAGGCTATACCTCATCCCTGGAGTACAAAGACACAAAGTACATTAACCTTTATCCTGGAATGACTACACGGCAGGGAATGTCTCAGTGGAAGTTACTGAGCTATCACTTGAGATCTAAATTAAAGCCTGGAAATGGCTTTGAAATATGTTCTTTTTATAACCATGCTGTATTAGAATCAATAAATCTGTCATATTTTGATAATCATTTGGAGGGTATATTTTATATGAAATAATAAAAATAGAATGGTTACAAAGACACAGTTTCTCATATAAACATATCTAATCAAGTGAAACAAAGAAACAGAATCACAAAATGTCCTTGTAATTCCTAGTTGTTTTTTAAAACTAGATTAAATGAATACACAGTGCTTTCAAAGAAAATATAAAATGTTTTCCACAGGACATGCTGAAATGATCCAACAGTTAATGAAGACAGTAGAAACGTAGGGATTTAGGGCCCTCCCTGGTGGCACAACGGGTTAAAGCACAGCACTGCAAGCTGGCCAGAGCCTCTTAAGTGGGAGTTCGATCCCCAGCCCTGGAGGTGATCCACATGGCGAGGCGGACCTCTCCTTACATGCCCACTGCTCCCCTCAGCAGTGTACTTTGTCAATCTGCCTGTTTTGCTCTCCCTACTCTGTTGCTGGTGAATTCTCTCAGTGCCCCTGCACCTCTGGCCTTCACCCCTGTTCTGTATGCATAAATAAATCTTTTTTTTTTTAAGATTTTATTTACTTCTGCATACATAACTGGGGTATAGGCCAGAGGTGCAGGGGCAATGAGAGAATTCACCAGAAACAGAATGGGGAGCAGCAAATGCGACAGAAGAGGTCTGTTGCACCATGTAGGTCACCTCCATGGTGGATGGTGGGGGATCAAACTCCCACTGAAGCGGCCACTGGCTTGGCTTAGCTTCGCTCCAACCTGCTGGACCATCAGGAAGAGCCCTAAATAAATCTTTAAAAAGAAAGAAATATTTAAACTAGTTTCTTTAATAGTCTAATGTCAGTGGTAATTACCACATGTCCCCTAACACAGATAAAAAGAAACATATTGTATATGGCACTCAAAGTCTCAAGCTATTCTAAATACTAAGTTTTTGGTTTTTTTTTTTCAATTAAATTTCATGCCAGTTCACTTTCCCTCAGCATGAAAAAAAATTTTTTCTCAGTAGGTTAAAAAAGCAATATTCTCAGAATCATATTTAGGTGATAAAAGATGATTTTCCAACAATATTCCAAAGACACTTGCTTCAAAATAGTAATCAAATATCAACTCTTAAACTGGGCACTTTATACTACTTTCCCCTAACTTTCCCTGGAATGCCTTTTTCTTTTAAAAGAGACTTATTTTATTTTACACATCCAAGAACTGTAGTGTAGACCAGAAGTGCAAGGGTGGGGCTGAGAGGACTCACCAGAAATACAATGAAAAGCGAACAGGCAGATTCACTGAAATACACTGCTGAGGGGAAGCGGCCTGTGAGACAGGAGAGGCCTGGGCCTGGTGGGTCAGCACCCTTGTTAGGGATCTAACTCAAGCAGCAGTGGCTTTGGACAGCTTCACACTGTTGAGACTTAACCCTTTGACCACCAGGGAGACCCATAGAATGCCTTTTATGTGTAATCTAATTCATGTTTGTGAAATAGTCAAGCTTATAGCCGTATACATTTAAATTTTAGATACTTTCTGGATAGACCCTTTTTCTAGCACACAAGACACATTAAATTCAGCATAGAATATTTGATAAGTTAGCACTGTCCTTTTATGCTTACAATCTATATTGCTAACAAAAAGGCTACTTACTTTGCATCTTGATATCAATTATAATAGACAAAATCATAACCAGACAGTGACAAGTTTTACTGAGTAACAGTAGTAGTAAGAGGAAAAACTGAAGGAATGGGAAACCAAATAAAATCAAGGGATAAAAGCTGACCTAAGGCAAGAGATGATAGAAACTGGAAAACAGGATTAGAAAAGGGAATTTGCATCTAAGAAATATAATTGTTCTTATTCACCCCAAATAATTACTTTTTTAATCGTGTATTTCTTGTCAAGTGTGTTGGATTTTAACATCTTGTTATCCTAAGTACCAATATTTTGAGAGTGCCTTTGTTAATTTATCGCATACATTCATGATCCAGTTCTACTCTCCTTACTCATACTCTTCTTGAGGCCAAGGGAGGTTGCTATGCCCTACTTTATTTCTAGCCCCTAAAAAAGGCACTCAGCACATAAATTGTCAGATGAAAAAAAAAAAACCCTTTGAGAGAGATATTTCTACTATACTCGTGTTACCAATGAGGAAACTAAGGCCTAGGTTTACAGCCAGAAACAAACCCTGTGTCTGACCTGACCACAAAGTCCTCACTGGGCAGAACAATTTAGTGCCTTTCACTTACATGTCTTTAGTTAGGATAGCCCTTTCTTCACAGGGGCCTCAAGCTTCAACTTCTCCATCTACCTTTTCCTGAGGATCTTCAACCTATGATCCCAAGGGACCTCTCTCTTCTTTATGCTGTGCCTTCTGCCAGGGTTCTATAATAAAAGTGCCATTAACCCTTTGCAGTGTACTTACTACTTATCTTTCCATTTTTATTTCAACTCCAAACTTCCTGAAGACAGGAATCCGGTATCTTCAAGTGGCTCTGGCACATTGCAGAGTTGAATAATTGTTTGAAAAAGGAATGAATAATCCCAGAGATAAAAAGGAGTCCCTTAGCCACAAGCAACCAGAGACTACAACTTTTCTTCCTTGGGAGTGGCAAAAGCATGCCTGAAATTCCCTGCCCACACAGCAGAAGAGCATTATTGTGCTATATGTTAAGACAGTTTTTCCAAGTTTAGAGACATCTAATGAAAGAACAATACAGTTCCAAAACATTAAGGGCTAAGTGGCCCACCTACAACTGAAACAACAAAAAAAATTTAAAGAAAAAAAAAAGTGTGTGTGTGTGTGTGTGTGTGTGTGTACCTGGATGGTACATCAGCTCCAGAATTTAAATAACGTTTACCAGTTCAATTAAATTGTTTTCAGTGGTTTTTGCATATTCTAGGTAATTTTATTTTTATATCCTTTGCCTTGAAAGTGCTACTTCATACTTCCCCACACATGAAAGGGCAAAACCTATCTTTTACTAAATGGGAACATGACTCACCTCTGCCTGTGTCAGGTAAAAAGACATTCAAGAAATGTTGTATGCTGCCATTTGTAAACTTGCTTTCTAAAAGCACATGTGGCCTATTTTAAACTAATGAATTCATTTAATCAGTATCAATACCAGGTTCAACCACATCTAAACAAAGTCTGCGTTTCATAAAAAATAGTAGAGTTGAATTGCCTGTGTACCACCAGTGAGTACTACATGAATAGTACTACATACAATATTCTGATTCTAAGAATTTATAACCAAATACTTAGACCATTTTCAAAATACGTATTTCAGGTGACATTTTTTTTAATACATTCACCACTCAACCACAATCTATCACTTTACCCTTTTATTAACACTAATTTTTGAAGTGTCTAGTCCTACCTATGAGTTATAAATAGGATAGTATAAAGGTGGGAAACTGGAATTTCACAATTGGAGCACATTAAGCCATTTACTTGCCAACTAACATTTTTTCAATTGTTTACAAGCAGATATGAAAAAAAGTGAAAATCATTTTGCCAAGCAGTACTCCTGGCCTCTTAGTTTGATGACTGGTCCTATCCTACCCATCACTCCTTCCTTTAGGTTATTATTCTGCCAGGAATACCCTCCTGACTCATCTCTGCCTGTCCACTGGAGACCTGGCTCAAGATTCAACCCCCTGAAAAAGTCCTGTTCTACCCCACTAACACCAGCTCCATTACTACTTCCCAACTTTACATTCCCTTGGCATTTACATATAGTTTGCACTGCATACTCAGGAAAAAGGGCTTGCATTTTTCAATCATTTCCCCAAACAGAAACACGTCTTCTTTTATGTTCTCTTTTAAGCAATCAACGCTGCCTGAGTGCCTGAATCAGCAGAAAGTTCATCCCTCAAAAATTTCTGAAGCAACTGACTTCAGATCACACTTCTCTACCACTTCCAACACGAAAGGGTTTCGAGAGGAGACTGAATTTTGACTTGGTTCTACAAAATTCATCATGAGAGATTAATCAGTAAGTCTGGCTATTCCTGAGATTTCACATTTTACATTTCTTCTAAAATGCCTGATGAGCCTGGAAGTTGCGCGCCTGTGAGAGTAGGTACTTGGACCTTGCAAAAGGGGCAAAAACCCCGGTTGGCAGTCAATGTTCAAAACGCGTGAGCCTCCACTGTTAAACAAGGCTCATTAACTACACAAACTTGCTGTTTCAGCTTTCTGGCTTCAATGGAGTGCTATGATCTCCTTTGGTTATTGTTGAGAGCCAACGATGGGTTAAATTCCCATAAATTACACAGCGCTTTGGTGCTTTGCCCAAGCATACCGCTGGCATCCGTGTAGTTGGATTTTTTTTTTTTTTTTTTTTAAATAGACCCGCCCGCCAGGGGAACCAGAGGTGAGGGACGAAAGCCCAGCCGGCACTTCTGAAGCGGCAAACCGGGTCTCCAGAACGCAAACCGCACGGTCTCCCTCTAGTTCTTAGCGTCAGCTAATCGTGCAGAGGCGGGGCTTTCAGGGCCGCTGTTTCTGACTAAATCTCAACGGAGTCTCCCTCCGGGACAGCAAGCCACACTTCGGCTGCTGCTCAACTTTTCCTGCAAGGGGCATCAGTTTTTCCATACTCGAAGCAAAACCGGGTCTGGGAAGGTCGCGACTCCCGCGGAGGAGAAGGCGAGGACTCCAGGGGGGAGGGAGCGGCTCGCTCGGCCAAGGGACAGGGGGGCAGAAACAAAGTAAGCGCCGACCAGCCCAGCGCGCCCTCCCGCCCGCCCCCTCGCCGGCCCCGCTCACCCTCCAGCAGCACCTCCTTGCCCGCGCGCTTCAGCGCCTGCACGGCCTGGTCATGGGTGGCCTGGCGCAGGTCGGTGCCGTTCACCGACAGGATGGCGTCGCCCAGCCTCAGCGCCCGGCTCTGGTCTGCCGCCAGTCCCGGGAAGATCTTGGAGATGAGGATCGGCATCCGGTTCTCGCGGCCGCCCTTGATGCTGATGCCCAGGCCGCCCGCCTCCTGCTTCACCACCCGCACCCGGCGCACTGGCGGTGACGCGCCCGGCTCGCCCGTCGGG